GGATCTCCAGAGGAAGAAAACCTCTCACAACACTCTGAGAGCATCTAATGAACATGGCAGTTCAGTGTTTGCTGCTAACAACCCTGGAAACCTGCCCACATGGACAACAAGATGCTCTGGAGACCCCCTGCCAATCTTACTGATTTCCGCATCCCCAGCTTCCAGGGAGGTGGCTGGCGGAAGGGGGGCTCAGGAAATGTGGGAGAGGGAGGAAGGAACTCAGCCCCAAGGGCAGCCCAAGCCCAGGTCCCTCTGGATTTTAAAGGGATCTCCAGAGGAAGAAAACCTCTCACAACACTCTGAGAGCATCTAATGAACATGGCAGTGCAGTGTTTGCTGCTAACAACCCTGGAAACCTGCCCACATGGACAACAAGATGCTCTGGAGACCCCCTGCCACCGCCCTGTGGGCACACAGCACAGGTGGGGGCTGGGCCGAGGCTGCAGGGGGGGATGCCCATGGCAGGGAAGGGGCAGGTCGAATGCCCACTCAGACCCCCAGTCAGGGCCCAGTGAGGGCTCTGGGGGGACCTCTCAGGACCTCATTCCCAGGCAGCCCTACCCACAGCTCCTGGCTGACCACGAGCCTCTACCTCCCAGCCTCCATTCCCTCTGCTAAATCTGCGCCATGCCTGGGTTTTCCTCATCCCAGAGAGGAATGAGGCCGCGCATCACCACCACCAACATGGCCCAAGGCCTGGGAGCTGACCCGGCCACTGAGGAGATCGTGGCCTTACAGAGCATTACCCCTGCAGCCCCACAGCCCTCGAGCAAGCCCTGAGAGGCAGGCTCTGTCACCCTCTTGACAAGTGGGGAAGCTGAGACTCAGGGAGGCTCAGTGACTAGTCTGGGTTCCCTCAGCCAGAACCAGGCAGCCCCAGGATCCAAGCTCCTTTCAGAAGCTTGGAGCTGAAGGAGGCAGGATGCCCCCAGGGACTCCAAGTGAGAACCAGAGGCCTGATGTTGCCACCAAGTCACTGAAGTCACTGAAGGAGGCTCGGGACAAGTTCCTTCCCCTCCCTGGGCTCCAGTTTCCCTATTTGTAAAATCAGGAACTTAGACAAGACAAGCCCTAAACTCCTCCTGACTCTGATGTTCAAGGTGTAATTCCTGCTTTTAACATTCCAGGGGGCCCAGAACAGAGGGACCCCCTGCAGTGGGGGAGGCAGGAGTCAGTCTTCCCTGAGGGCAGACTCAGAACTGGCTGAGACCACATGGGCATTTGGCGCCCTCTCCTGGGCCATCCTGGTGCACCTCATTGCCGGCTCCAGAGAAGACACCCAGGCCTAGCCCCTTACGAGGAAACTGAGGCAAGGCAGGGGTGTCAGGGGGCCTGCCTTCTACCCCCGAGTGGGGCTGGCTGATGAGCTTGGATCTGATGTCCCATACTGGCTGTGTGACTCTGGGCAAGTCGTTGTCCCTCTCTGGGCCTCAGTTTCCCCAGCTATTAAACAAGGCAGAGATGAATGAAAAGATGTCAGCTCCGTTAGAGGGGCCCCAGATCGGGGGTGTTTCCCAGCTATGCTGCCTGGAGCTGGGGGTGGGGGGGTAGCTCACCGATATCTTAGTGAAGATGGACAGCAACAGGGACAGGACGGACAGGTACATGCGTATCCGCTGGCCTCCGAAGCGCTTCTGAATGTATTCAGGCAAGGTGACGATCTGGGGAGACCCGGGGGCAGGGGGCAAGCATGTCAGGGCAGGGGCCCATCCCAATCACTCTGCCTCTCCCCTGGCACATGAAGCAGTCGTGGGCCTCTGGAGAACAAGGCCAGGCCACTTACTCATTACAGCCCCAGCACCAGCCTTAAATTCCAGGCTGAGGTCTGACTGTGTCCAAAGAGTTTTAGGCAGGGGGGGTGGCATGCTGAGAATGGCTCTTCAGGCTAAGACAAGGAGTGGAGTGGAGGGGCCACAGCTGGGGACAGTGGGACAAGTTTGGAGACTGTTATGACAAATCCAGATGAGCTGCAATGAGGCTGGATGCGGCGTGGCCATGAGGGGAAGAGCAGGGGATTGACCAGGAGAGATCCAACAAGAGGAAGCGACTGGACTTAGTGGCTAGTGGGACAAGTTTGGAGACTGTTATGACAAATCCAGATGAGCTGCAATGAGGCTGGATGCGGGGTGGCCATGAGGGGAAGAGCAGGGGATTGACCAGGAGAGATCCAACAAGAGGAAGCGACTGGACTTAGTGGCTGCACTTCTGGGGTTGGAGGAGTGGGCAGAGTCGAGGATGGTGTTGCCCAGGGGTGTTGCCCAGGTGTGCAGCCTGTGTTCACAGGTAGATGGAGCATCATCCCCAGGATGCAGCATGCAGGGCAGTGGAAACCAGTCAAGGTGCCCACGCCGAGGTCTGAGGGGGTCCTCCTTACTGGGTCGATAGGAATGTTACCCAGCCCTGAGTTCACCATCTTGTGACGTGAGGCCATGGGGTCCTGCCCATCACCACCAACAATCTGGCCCAAAGCCCAGCTCCCAGCTGGCGTGCCCCAGAGCAGACTCACCTCAGAAGATATATAGATGGGCAAGAACACCCACGCCAACGCCAGCAGCACGTATGTGGCCTGTGGGGACAGAGGCAGCTGAGGACCATGGGCTCAGCTCCCATAGTCCCAGTCCAAAGACACAGCAGGACACACATGGGACTAGCAGTCTACAGGTCTGGCTTTCCCCAGCCCCTCCTGACTTGTCACAACAACCCAGGTCAGCCCTTTCCCCTCTCTGGGGCTTCTGTGGATAGTTGATCTGGGCTGAGCTACCCAGCACTTCGGTATTCTGAAGACCAGCCTTGCCCAGGAGCACCACTGCACAGAGCCTGCCTGGACATCAGCTGGCACCAGTTGCTGGGAGCTGCCCCAACCAGGGGTCAGCCGATCGAGGTTGCTGCCCGCTGCACCAGCCCTCCCACAGGCTGTGCCGTGTTCGGGGGGCTCACATGCATCTCAAAGCCTGCCACAGCCACGCCTCCAGCTGCGCCCGAGCCCGCCAGTCCAATAAAAAGCCCAGAGCCCTCGCTGCTGGCAAAGAGGGAGGCTCCGATCTGGAGGAGAGAGGGAGAAACATGTCAGCAGCAGGCCCACCGTGCAGGCCCCACCTCACACGTGAGGAACCCAGGCTCAGGGGTATGAATTGGTGTCCCCACAGCTGCCTGCACAGCTTCACACAATTTCCAGCAGCCCATCCCTACACCCCGAGCTTGGGGGCCTTCTGCCAGCCTGGCCTATGACCTTGGATGAGGAAAACACAAGAATTGACCTTAGGGATGCAGGTGCTGGCTGACCTAGAGGTCAGATGCAGCCCATGGACAGAGGGGTGTGAGAAGTCAGGGTGCACTCACCGGCCACCACCTCATGTCCCGGCCTGCCAGGAAGTAGCCGCTCACCGTGTTCCTGCTGGCCTGACAAGAGGTCTGCATGAACAGAGAAGGAGAGACAGGGAATAGGAAGGAGCTTGTGCCTTGCTGGTGGGAATGCAGAATGGCAGCTGCTGCGGAAAAACGGTGTGACGGCTCCTCAAAAAGTTAAGCATGGAATTACCACGTGACCCAGCAATCCCACTCCCTGGTATGTACCCCAAAGAGTTGAAAACATGTCCACACAAAAACTTGTGCAAGAATGTTCGCAGTACCGTTACTCATGATAGCCAAAAGTGGAAACAACCCAAATTGCTGATAAATGAGTAAACAAAATGTGGTACAGCTATCAAAAAGAATGAAGTTCTGACACATGCTACAATTCAGGTGAACCTTCGAAACATTATGCTGAGTGAAAGAAGCCAGACACAAAAGGTCACACAGCGTGGGTCAAATGTGGGCCCCAAAAGTTCATGTATCGGAAACTTGATCTCCACTGTAACAGTGGTGAGAGGGTGGGAAATCCAATTATAGTATTTGAAAGGTGGGGCCTTTTAGAGGTGGATTGTGAGGACTGTGCTCTGAAGGATGGATGATCCATTCATGCAGTAATGGGTGTGGTTCTGCCAGCTGTATACAGAGGGTGAATGAGGTTACTCTCTCTTGCTCAGCCATTCCTCGCCACGTGACACTCTGTGATGTCACCCAGAAGGTGGCCCTCACCGTAAGTGCCCACGGCCTGTTGATTGACTTCCCAGCTTCCAAAACTGTAAGAAATAAATTTTGTCTCTTTGTAAATAACCCAGTTGTTCAGTTGTTCTGTTATAAGCAACAGAAACAGACCAATACATAGTGTCTAATTCCATATAAAATGTCCAGAATGAGCAGATTAGTTGTTTCCAGGGGCTGTAGGCAACTGCTAATAGGCACAGGGTTTCCTTTTGGGTGATGGAAATGTCTGGGAGCTAGATAGAGGTGATGGCTCACAACATTGTGAATGTACTAAATGTCATGAATTGTATACTTTAAAATAGCTAAAATGGTAAGTTTTGTGTTATGTGGGTTTTACCTTAATTAAAAAAGAAAGAACAGAAGCAGTCAGTTCCCCACGCCTGGCCGGTCACCCAGCCCCTGGCCCAGCAGCCACTCCTCCAGGTTCTCATTTGCTTACTTGGAGCATCGCCCGGGCCCCTGTGTGGCAAGCGCTAGGTCAGGGGAACTGGTGTGGCCTTGGCCGCCCTGGGGGGGCTTTTGGTCTAGGGGAGGAAAGGACACAGACAAATGGTAAGCCGGTGACCACGGGTACTGCGGCCACTGCCATCGACTAAGGTGGCAGTACCAGCCCCTGAGCCTGGCTCCTCCACGCTACTCCCGTTCTCTGAGCCTCCAGACAGCCTCAAGACAGTCCCTGTGGGCCTTGAAAGTCAAGTTTCGACCTCCGTGAGACCATCCCACAGCAAGCAACTGAGCCAAGCTTTCCTTTTTGCCTCTTGATGAGGACCTTGAACCCAGAGATGTGAGAGCCCTTCAGGCTTTATTTCTTACTTGAAATATATAAATACTTATATAAATATTTATATATATATTTTTTTGGTGGCTGGCCAGTTCAGGGAACTGAACCCTTGGCCTTGGTGCTGCAGGGCCACACTCTAACCAACTGAGCTAACTATCCAGCCCCTATTTATATTTCTGATACATTTCAACAAGTATCACTCGTGTATTCCTGCACGCCCTTTGTTTGGGGAGAGTATAGAATTTTGTCCTCCATGTGTATGGAATAAAATATCTGAAATCAGAATGCCTGGGAGTAAAATCCTGGTTCTTCTGCTTCCTGGCCATGGGATCTTGGGCAAGTTAATTAACTGATGTGCCTCAGTTTCCTCATCTGTAATGCAGGCTTGATAAGTTCTTCCCTCACAAGGTTTTTATGCCGTGTAATCAGGCAACACATAACACACCCAGAAGCATGCCTGGTGCCTGGTAAGTGTTCAATAAGGGTCAGTGATTCTGTGGATTTTTTCAAGCCCCCATTTAGTGCTATCTGGATGAGAGATATTGAAAAGATGTCCAATTGAAAACAGGAGAAATTTGAAAAGCGGCCCACAGGAGGTATACTTAGATATATGTTTTGTGTTTCTTTTTCACAACATACCTAAGGCTGGATCACAAACTATCAATCGATCTTCCTTACCTTAATTGCCTGCCCTATACTCAATATGACTAAGCCTCATTGTCTGAACCCACCATTCAAAGCTTCGATGTGGCTCCCACCTGCCTCTCCAGCTTCAGCTCCCGCCACTGTGTGTGTGCTGTGATTCTGCTCTACCCAGTGTAGCACAGTCTGAGGACTTTCACAGTCATGGCCGGGATGGCTGTGTCCCGCTGTTTAGGCTGTGCACTGCACAACTCCAAAGCAGCTCTGATCATAGTCCAGTCTTTTTCCTAACCTTCTTAGCTTTCACGACTATCCTGGGTATTGCCAGGTGCCTCCTTATGTCCTTTCCCTTCTTAAATTGGCCTTGTTTTTCCCAGCAGTTGGCTTGGGTGGTCCCGATCTCTAGCTCCGGGGACCCTGAGTCATCTAAGCCACAGAGTCTATTACATTCCTTAGCTGTTGTGCCTGGCCTCCTTGGAGGTGAATGAAGAAGCTGGGGCTCTGAGGGCTGCTGGTGGACACATATACCTGGTTAATATTCACCAAGTGCCGCCTGTGGCTGAGTTGGTTCTGACTGATTTACCTGTATGAGGTTTTTAGTCCTCAAAACAGCCTCATGAAGTAGGTACCATGATCATCCCCAAGTTCATGAGGAAACCAAGGTTCTCAGAGGTGAAAGGACACCCAGCTAGTAAGTGGTAGAATGAGGATTTGAACCCTCAGGACATGAGGGAAACTAGGCTTGGGTCAAAACCACACATGAGTGAAGGCTGAAAAAACTGCAGTGAGGTATAGCCATAGACTGTGAATTCCTGGATCACACTGCACCTGAAGCCTTCCCTATTGCTGGACTTTTCTGTATGGACACTATTACACTTCCTTCATTGTTAGAGCTCATTTGAAAGTGGTTTTCTGTCACTCATTAACAAATTCCTTACATCTCCTCCTTAAAGGCTCTGCCCTGGGCGCTCCCAGCCCCACCTTCGAAGCATCTTTGCAGGGCTGACCTGCCCAGCTTGCTCTGCCTGACTCTGGGCTGCGAGCACCTGGTGCTGTTCCCTGTGGGATGCGGCTCCAGCACCCCCGTCTGGGCCTGTTATTCTCTGGATGTGCTCACTGCTCTCTGGCCGGCTGCACCCAGCTGGGCCAGCCTGGCCTGCTGGGAGGGACAGGGCAGAACTCCTACAGCCCTACTGCCTGGGCCACCAGCCTGCAAACAGGAAGGCTGGGCTGGGAGAGGTGGGTCCCCGCAGCAAGGGCAGATGGCCTGAGTTACTGGGTGGCAAAGGGCCTGGCCTCAGATGCCCAGACATCTACCTCACACGTGCATTTCCAAGTAGACACTCCATCCACACTGCCCAGAAAGGCCTTCTCTCCCTTCCTCTTCCGCTCCAGACCTTGCTGACCTCCAGCCCCAGCTCTCCCCTCACTTTCTCCAGAAAGCCTCTGCTGCCCATTCTGTCCCATGTGGGCACCCCACTACCCTGCATTCCTAGCCACCAACTCTCACAGAATACGGCACGCCACAGTTTGCAATAGATTTCCACATCCATGGGTACCTTGCTCCTTGGAACAGCCCCAGAAAGTGAGCTGCACAGACATCCACGCTGTGTGTTGGAGGAGACTGAAGCCCAGAGAGGTTAAGGAACTTGCTTCAAGTACACAGAGCAGAGCCAGGTCTGGAACCCAGCCACCCCAATGGCCGGCACTCAGCTACTTGTAATTTAATATTGAATCACATAATAATTAATTTCAATCACTGCTGCTGCTACCACGACAACCAGTACTACCATGGCAACCAGTACGACCACGACAACCAGTACGACCATGGCAACCAGTGCTACCACGACCACCAGTACTACCATGGCAACCAGTACCACCACGGTAACCAGTATGACGACGACAACCAGTACTACCATGGCAACCAGTACCACCACGGTAACCAGTATGACGACGACAACCAGTACTACCACCGCTTCTACCACCTCTACAGCCACCATCAGCACCACCACCACTCCTGGCACCATTACTACCGTAGAGCCAGTGGTGGCAGCAGGCTCCAGTCTCGTGCGGGCCCCTTTGGCAGGAGACCTCACCCTGTGAGGTAGGTGGTGTCCGGGAGAATGTGAAGACTCGGGGCCACCAGCCTGGGGACGTGCGGTGCCAAGGAGGTGGGGCCGGCCTCTCCAGGCCCGAGTCACGAGCCGTGAACTGAGCGTGGCTGGCGGGCCGTGCCCACCTTCCAGTCAGGACGCCTCCAAGGCCGGCACAGCAACAGACTGAAGAGGAGCAGCCTCCCTCTCTGTGCAGGGCCTGGGTCCACCGGGCAAGCCCCAGCTGCCCCGAGCCCCGGCTTCTTCACCCGCACACAAGGCTGCCCTTTTCCGGGGCTGTGGACTGGCCGGGTCCTGAGCAACTGCCCGGCCTCGTGCCTGCGCCGGAGGCCCCAGCGCCCCGGGAATCTGTGCGTGGGGTCCAGTCACTTCTCTCTCTCTCATCAAGGGAGGGAAGCTGGCTGATGAGCGAGGGTTCGGCCTGCGGGACGGGGGTCCACCGGGAGCTTGTTCACTGCGGCGATCCCCAGGCCCCGCGTGCTCCTCCCCAGCTCCCCCAGCTCAGGGTGTGGCTGGGAATCCCTGGGATTCCATTGCTCAGGCAGGCGATCACCTCGGGGGCGTCTGACACTGTGGACACTGAGACCAGCGGGGCGATGTGCCCACCCCGGGCCCCCTCCGCTCGCCAGAAACACGAGCCCCATTGCTGGTTAGAGAGACCTTCCTCCTCCTCCTCACTTGGCACATGGAGAAGCCGTTGCCCAAAGAGAGAAAGAGGCTTGGTCCAAGTTTCCAAGCGAATCGACCCCAGGCTGGGAGGAGGACCCCAGCAGTCATCAGGCCACCAGTTGAGATCAATGCCATGCTGCAGGGACAGCCGGACCCCAGTTCCTGTCCCAAGCGCCCACCCGGAGAGCCCACATGGCCGGCTCCACGGCTCTCTCACCCATATGCCCACGGCCAGGTTGAGGGCAAAATACACGGTGATGATGATGATGTCAGCGATGCTCAGCTGCTGCCCTGGAGCGTGGAGGTCGCTGGTGGAGTTGCCAGCCATGGCCATGCTGCAGCAGGCGTCAGCTCCGAGCTGGGGGAACTGAGGAGCAGACCAGGCCGGAAGGGCTTTCCGGCAGGGAACTAATTGATCATTAAACTGAGCGGGACGGTGGCACCTCCAGCCCATGAAGTGACTGCGTGCAGAGCAACTGCTTCCAAGTGTGGCATCTTGGCCCCGGCGGGGCACCAGTTCCAGAGCACGGGAGTGGCGGGGAGGACCGGGGAGATGGGAGTGTCCTAAACCCAGTGGGGGCTGGGGAGGTAAAGGGAGTTCAGGGAATGCAAAGACAACGCCAACAGTCCCAGGAAGGAAGGGCTGAGTTGCCTACTGGGTGGCCTGACCCACGTTTAGTTTGTGTAAGAAGCAGGAGCACCGGGATGGACGCCTCACCTCGGACGGCACTGCTGTCACAGACAGCCATGTCTTCCTGCAGCCAGTGGGCCATAGATGGACTGAGGGACTTGGGATGGTGACTCCTGCATTATGGTTCCCTCCCAGCCATGACAGCTCCAGCCTCAGAAATGTCCCCAAGTCAGCCGGCGAAGT